TTTCCCAAGATTTTTAGGGGGTTAAGCTAGAAAAATTAATCTTCTGCACTGAAAGAGACATTCTCATTAAGAGTTATAAGCATCTATTTTTTTCTCCCTGTTCTCTAATAAAACTGTGTTTTTTAAATCTTTGTTGAATATCTTCTGAGTATTTATTCATGTTAATCCAAAAGGTGTGAATCATCCTATCTAATAAAGGGATTGATTTTAGGATCATAATTGATAACAAGGCAAAATCTAATTTGTTCCTCTCCTTATTAATTTGCTTAGATTGTTACCATAGCCTAGAATAACTCTTTTTCTTTCACCCTTTATCCCAGGAGCTCTCTTTTTCAAGGTGTCATCCAAGTTTCTGCTTTTTCCATTCAAACAGAGACACTAAAACGTACAAATACCAGCATTCTCTATAAGCTAATTAACAATAGATTAGCGATCTCGTTCTGAAGATACCATCTTGTATGTCCTGTGACATCTATGATTTTTCAACCAGTGACCGTCTTGCCTCTGTGTTCCCCTAGAGATATTTGACATTGTATAGTGGCATTTTTGATTGACAGGACTGGAATAGGATGTGATGAGTGGGTAGAAGCCAGAGTTTCCACTAAACATTCTATAGTTCACAAAACAGTCCTCACACTCCCAATATAGAATCATCTAGAAAGAAATGTCAGTAGTGCCAAGGTTAAGAAAGATTAATTACTTACATTGATGCTGGACCATGAGTAGTCATAGTCTGCATGCAGATCCCTAACAGATTGCATGACCTATTTTTATTGTTACATCCAAAAGTTGGCAACTATGTCAAAGGACAATGTAAAATGCTTTGCTGAAGTCCTGTGAGATTGTTTCTTCTGTTTCTATGTTATCTATGGACTGCCACATTATGATTGCAGGAAATTAAATTGGGCTGTTACAATTTTCTCTTTAGCAGAGCTATGGTGCTTGCCGCCCAGTACACTGCATTGCAAGTCATCAACAGTGATTGCCCATTTAAAGGTTGATGATTTGTCCCGGTAGTTAACATATTAGAGTTAATTTGACCAGTGTGTAGTAACCAGGGTTGCCTTTTCCACCTGTAAGAAAAAAGGAAATGGATGAGTGGAGACTTTAATATAGATAAATTTTCAAGGGTTTTATATGTTATATATATACACACATATAAAATACATATATATAGCATTTATATTATGTATTACCTATGAATTATATTCTCTCTCCTTATATATATATATGTATACATGGGCTTCCCTGATGGCTCAGATGGTAAAGAATCTGCCTGCAATGCAGAAGACATGGGATTGATCCCTGGGTTGGGAAGATCCCCTGGAGAAGGAAATGGCTAACCACTCCAGTATTCTGGCCTGGAGAATCCCATGGACAGTAGAGCCTGGCAGGCTACAGTCCACGGGGTCTCAAAGAGTCGGACACAGCTGAGTGACTCGCTTTCATTTGTGTATATATATACATATATTACTTGCTTCTCCATTTTTCCTCTTTCTGTTTGCATTCAACCACTCTCTGTATGTATTTCCATCTCACAGAAACTAATGCATCACCAGGCTGAAGTGCATTTTGTCTATCATACAAGATGCATGGTATCAATGGACTCCTCCAAGAACTGTTGTTTAAAATATCTTCAGACAGCAAAACTTATGCTGGAGTTTGTTTGCTTCCTATCACTATTGCGATTGAAATTAACTTTTCTTCAAGTCTTTTTCAACCTCCATTCTATTCTTAGGACTTCCTTTCCTTTCCCTTGGTCTATTATTTGCACAAGTATTTTTAAATATTTGTTTTTAGTACAATTATTTTTCAGATTAAGGGCACCAGATCTGTTTGAAAACTTTGACCAGGCTAGTCATCAAGGAAGAAAATCTTATTAAACACCAAGCTTTTTCTAGATTGTTATCATGTCTGTAATCATGACTTCCAACTGCATCATCATTAATCATGATAAACTTCGAAAATAACCAAAGACTGAGCTTGACTAAGCTTACTGTGTCAAGTGAGAACTATAAACTGTTAAACATAAATTAAGATAAATTATATACATGTATGAGCAATCAACAGTAAGAACTAATATCAGTTTCTAGTTTAGTTCATTATAACCATTACTCTTAACACAGTTGTCTTTTTTTTGCAATTCCTCATACTTTTATCTTTCTGGTGATTTCATACACCCATCCCACACAGTGAATTCTGGGAAATTCATTTCTTGATTCAGAGTTTTAAAAGTAATTAAACAGGTTCTTGTTTTATCTTTTCATTTATTTATTCTTTCATTTAATGTTTGTGTGTGTATATATATATGCACCCATTTAATGGGTGTCTTCAGAAGTTTTAAAAATTAATTTTCAAAGTGTGTATGTTCACCTCAGAAATTTCTTTCATTCTCTCTGTTTGTTCCATTGCATTGTTACCTTCTCTGTTCTGTGTACTTTCTCTCTGCCAGGATCAGCTTTTCATGTTACATTAATTTGTGGATATTTTTAACCTCCTTTGGTGAGAAATCCTTACTTCGAAATGTCTTTATCTTTTGCTATGCTATTACAGTTTCAGAGTAACACAGTGAAACATTCTTTTTCAAACCATTTCACAACCATAATCATGTAGTACAGATGAACATTTTAAACTTGAAAATTCTTATCCATATACCAAATCTACTAAATGCAACTCAAGGAAAAGAAATGGTCATTAATTTCAGTCTCCTATTGAACTCCATGATATTCAAAGAACCAGAAAGGTTATTGTGAAAACACTTTTTTAAAAAATAGAAAACATATATATGTTAGTATTTGGAAAATTATTAAATAATTATTTATTTATTTACTATTATGGTCAGCACACTCATTTTTTTTTGCAAAGAAACAGTTTTTTTAAATATTTAGAATGTGAATTTATAAAAAAAAAAACCATAGTCTTCTGTAGAAATGAGAGGATTTTGCAAGGAAATGATATGAAATGGATGCCTATAGTATGTCCAGAATTGCACGTGGCTCAGTGGTAAGGAGTCTGCCTGCCAATGCATTTGATCCCTAGGTCGGGATGATCCCCTGGAGTAGGAAATGGCAATCCACTCCAGTTTTTTTGCAGAAAAAATTCCATGGACAGGGGAGCCTGGTTGGCTACAGTCCATGGGAGTCACAAAAGAGTTGGTCATGACTTAGCAACTAAAGAACAACTACAATATGTACCAAACATTTTGCACAGAGGTCTCATTTACTGTTCATGACAGCTCTATGACTTGATTGTAATAAGTAAAATTAAAAGAAATAAGGATAAGAGAGAATAAATAACATACCACACAGCTGCTTTTGAGGTCCCAGCGCCCCATATTCCTCAAGATCTCTGTGAGAAATAAGCTACAGTTTCAAAAACCATACTTAAAAGACTTATGATGTTTATTAATTATGAATTTCATTCAAATATTTAAAATTTCAGAAATACATTTAAACCTTAATTGATCTTTATGGTATTGCTTCTGAATATTATTTCTGTTAAACAAAGAGGGTAGATAAGTGGAGAAGAAAAAAATGAAAACAGAGAACAGATTTTAAAACACTTAAGGAAATAAATTTGGAAATAATAAAAAGACAATGGAAGTACAGGTCTTGAATGAATATGTATTTTTTTGGTTTTTAATACTTGGTGATTGGGTGAAAGGGAAGAATTAAGGTGTTTGGATTATTAGTAAGCAAAGGAAAAAAAGAAGAATTTTGTAAAGAATATGCAACTAGAAGGCAGAAAACCTGAGATCTAGTTAGGAAATATGTTAATAAATGCTTGGGTAGCTTTGAGTGTATCAGTTTATTTTAATTATGGTCAAAATGATCTCATGTCTTCCGATACTCTGAAATTGAATGATTGTCAAGACCAGCGATTCTTAGAATGCAAGTTATAACAAATTAACCAAATAAAATGGAATATATCTGACAGTTTACCTATATGCTTTCTCTGATATTTTTTGAAGATTTCAGCGTTTTTTTTAAATACTTTTATTTATTTATTTATCGGCTATGCTGGATCTTTGTTGCTGCTCAGACTTTTCTCTAGTTGTCGTGTGCAATCTTCTCCTTTAGGCAGTTTCTCTTATTGTAGAGCACGAGCTCTAGGACACAAGGACTCAGTAGTTGCCGTCCTGGGTTCAGAACACAGTCTCAGTCGTAGCACATGGGCTTAGTTACTCTGTGGCATGTGGGGTCTTCCCAGAGCATGGATTGAACCCGTGTCTCCTGCATTGGCAGGCACATTCTTTACCATTGAGCCACCCAGAAAACCCTCAGTGAATTTTTGAACTGTTTGTGGTCACTTCCTTTTGCTTCATGTGGTAGTTACTAAAGCGTATTAATAAGAAGCTAAAATCACCAAAGAATAGCAACATTGAAAAAAAATAGGAGATTCACACTATTACAAAAATATTGAAAGAATAAATAGGAAATTAGTTCAGGTAACTCTCTGGAGGGGGAAGATAGCGAATGAGGGGATTTCATTTCAAAACATTTCATGATTGGTGATTGGTTTAGGACTGACAGACACTTCGGGGGGTGAAGAGTGGTGAGACAGAAGTAAACAATTCTCTTGACAATGAGTATCTTCAACTAATATAACTTAAATTTTAGATAGTTAACACAAATACTCTGGGCATACCTTCAGTAAGTAATAATATGTATATTAAATATGATGAAAAATTAGTTTTTAGAGTTCTTCCAAGAGTCTAACTAAAATATAAGCTTGCCTAGCAATGCACTTTGTGCTGGATTTCAAGACTCATTTCTAAAGTTACATAAGTTGTAATAATATGTAACAATTTACTAAAAAGGGGAAACTTATTTCTCAGTTAACTGTGACTGATACTTGAAATTATAGGTACAATTTTATTACATGCTCATAGCTAAAACATATATGAAATCATCTTTATTTAAATGTAAATTATGGGGTTTTTTACCTTTAACTTTTTTTCCTTGACAGTAAAGTATTGTATTTTATTCACTTAATTTTAGGCGAAAGGTTCTCAAACCGCAACAACCTCTGGCACTCAGAAAAAAGTGAAGAGAACTCTGCCAAACCCACCACCTGAGGAGACCTCCACAGGAACCCCGTCAGCCTACAGTGCAGTGGGCACGGTCTCCAGGAGAAGGATCTGCAGAACCAACACGATGGCCCGAGCCAAGATTCTCCAGGATATCGACAGAGAGCTTGATCTTGTGGAGAGGGAATCTGCCAAGCTCAGGAAGAAACAAGCAGAACTTGATGAGGAAGAAAAGGAGATTGATGCTAAGTTACGATACCTAGAAATGGGGATTAACAGGAGGAAAGAGGCCTTGTTAAAGGAGAGAGAAAAGAGAGAGAGAGCCTATCTCCAGGGAGTAGCTGAGGATCGTGATTACATGTCCGACAGTGAGGTCAGCAGCACCAGACCAACCCGAATTGAAAGTCAGCATGGCATCGAGCGACCAAGAACTGCTCCCCAAACTGAATTCAATCAGTTTATTCCACCACAAACCCAAACAGAATCTCAGCTAGTCCCTCCTACGAGTCCTTATACCCAGTACCAATACTCTTCCCCTGCTCTCCCTACTCAAGCACCCACCCCATACACCCAACAGTCCCACTTTCAGCAACAGACTCTGTACCATCAGGAAGTTTCACCTTATCAGACTCAGCCAACCTTCCAAGCTGTGGCAACGATGTCCTTCACACCTCAGGCTCAACCTACACCAACCCCACAACCTTCTTATCAGCTGCCATCACAGATGATGGTGATACAACAAAAGCCACGGCAAACTGCATTATATTTGGAGCCCAAGATAACGTCCAACTATGAGGTGATTCGCAACCAACCCCTGATGATAGCACCTGTTTCTACTGATAATACGTATGCTGTTTCCCATCTTGGTAGTAAGTACAACAGCTTAGATTTGAGAATAGGATTGGAGGAAAGAAGTAGCATGGCAAGCAGTCCAATATCAAGCATATCTGCAGATTCTTTCTATGCAGATATTGACCATCATACTTCGCGAAATTATGTCTTAATTGATGACATTGGTGAGATTACCAAAGGAACAGCAGCTTTAAGCACTGCATTTAGCCTTCACGAAAAAGATCTGTCAAAAACAGATCGTCTCCTCCGAACCACTGAGACACGTAGGTCTCAAGAAGTGACAGATTTCCTAGCACCTCTGCAGACTTCGTCCAGATTGCATAGTTACGTGAAAGCAGAGGAGGACCCAATGGAGGATCCTTATGAGTTAAAGCTTCTGAAACAACAGATTAAACAAGAATTCCGTAGAGGAGCAGAGAGCTTAGATCACCTTGCTGGTCTTTCTCATTATTACCATGCTGATACTAGTTACAGACATTTTCCAAAATCTGAGAAGTACAGCATTAGTAGACTCACACTTGAAAAACAAGCAGCAAAACAACTACCAGCTGCCATACTTTATCAAAAGCAGTCAAAGCATAAGAAGTCACTAATTGACCCTAAAATGTCAAAATTCTCACCTATTCAAGAAAGTCGAGACCTTGAACCTGATTATTCAAGCTATATGACTTCAAGCAGTTCATCTATTGGTGGCATTTCTTCCAGGGCAAGGCTTCTTCAAGATGATATTACTTTTGGCCTCAGGAAAAATATTACAGACCAACAAAAATTTATGGGATCATCTCTTGGCACAGGACTAGGCACCTTAGGAAATACCATACGGTCAGCTCTGCAGGATGAAGCGGATAAGCCATATAGCAGTGGCAGCAGGTCCAGACCTTCTTCCAGACCTTCCTCTGTCTATGGGCTCGATTTATCAATTAAAAGAGATTCTTCCAGTTCTTCTCTAAGACTGAAAGCTCAAGAGGCTGAAGCTCTAGATGTTTCCTTTAGTCATGCATCACCTTCTGGGAGAACTAAGCCTACCAGTTTGCCTATTAGCCAGAGTAGAGGAAGGATACCAATTGTGGCCCAAAATTCTGAAGAGGAAAGCCCACTCAGTCCTGTTGGACAGCCAATGGGAATGGCCAGGGCTGCCGCTGGACCCCTTCCACCAATATCTGCAGACACCAGGGACCAGTTTGGATCCAGTCACTCTTTGCCTGAAGTTCAGCAACACATGAGAGAAGAATCACGGACCCGAGGCTACGATCGTGACATAGCATTCATCATGGATGACTTCCAACATGCCATGTCAGACAGTGAAGGTAAATTGGGCCTCAAACTACCTTGCTACTCTCAAAACTCAAACTCTTATTTTTCTGCATGTTTAATTTTCCTTCTCCAAGGATGTGTGCTATTTTTCTTGGTGTGTCTTTTGCATGTTTACTTCAGTTTTATTTCTTGTAAATGGAAATTCTATCTTGTGTATAGACTTCATAGCATGCTCTTTATTTCTTTTTAGTTTATCCTTTTATCGTTGTTTCTTGATTGTTTGATTTGTGTGGTATCTACTTTTCCAAAACCATTATCAAATAATTGTGTCAATAAAATATGGTCAGCCTTTAAATCTATAGTTGGAAAGTTTTTTCTTGTATGTTTCTTTTGTTTTCAAAAGTCATTTTTGAAGTTATTAGTTTCTTTCAGTTTGTTAAATGATTAAGGTTTTGAGCCATTGACTATTCTGCTAGACTTTGTAGTAGAAAATTATTTGTCATTTGTGAGATCAGTGTTTGTTAATTCAGAGAATGTTCTTGAGAACGTTCAGGTGAGTCCCTAATGTTAGCATAATGTACAGTTTTATAATTCTACTTATACAAAAGGCTTGTATTTTAATTTCTCTCTCATTGTGAATGCCATAGTTGACAAGCATTGTACATTGTACATTTTGTATTACATACTAAAAACTTAGTACTTAATATGATATTGACAGTAAACAACAGTATTATCCATATGCTGGTCAATATGTATGAAGCACTGTTTAGATCTTAAAACTTGAAATTTGTACATTGCTTTTGTGAATTTAGGTATTTGAGCTGAAGCTTTCTTTGTGTGTTCAGTTAGCCTTTTCCATGGGTTTCCTTTTTGTGTTGTTTCATTTTTTTTTTTTGCACTAAATTGTTTTACTAGTTTTTCATATAGAACAAGTGATTTATGGCAAGTACATACTTAACTAAAAACTTTATGGTGATTTTTTATTAAATCATATAGAACCATAAGGATTTCAGAAAATGACCTAACCAAGTCTTACTTAGAGGACAAGGTTGAAGAGGTACAGAAATGTGACATTTTGCCCGTGCCCAGAGGAGTTATTACTCTTGGTTCTTTTTTTTGTTTCTTCTCCCTCTGTAGTTTACATTTGAATATAAGGGTAGCTTGAGTCCTAAAAATAAAATATTTCTCATCCAATAAAAGTGTATTAATTCATAACTTTGGAGATGGAAAAGCTCTAAGCTAACATGAACATCTCCTCTTTTAAATCTAACATTTTCCCTGGGGGCTTGCAGGAAAGTGTATTTTCACAAGAAGGATTTTCTTTCTTCTGTATCTCGACACCAAGATGATATTAGAAGTTTAAGTGTAGGTTAGATCAGGACAAAAGTAATCACTGGATCTGAAGGAGAAGAGACTGCTTTTCCTAGTGAATTTCCAATAGACCAGTTACTTTCTGATTTATTTTTTTCCCTATAAGCTGTTGGATTGACCATTTTTTATTGATAATTAGCCAGTTAAATAAAACACTATTTTTTTTACTTTAGCCAGTTGTTTGAATCAACCATCATAGTTAAGTAAGAGTTACATGGAAATTCTTCTTTTTTTCTTTTTTTCACAGTCCACATTTAACACACACTATATATGTATATGAATATATATATATATGTAATGACTTCTACAGAAAGAAAGACTCATCAATAGTAACATCTGTAAAATAGCAAAATAGAACAAAAATTAAAAGGTCAATCATATAACTAAACACCAAAGGCTTTGTGTGCATGATGTACATTTATCTGGAGATAATTTGACAAATTCATTTATTCATCATAGATTTTGCCACCATGGTGCCAGACATACAGATGTTTCCAGATATTCTGAAATATGGCAGTTATTTACATACAACCATGTAAAAATAACCAAATTTTTCTCATTTATATGTTTTGACGATATGTACTCATAGTCACCAAAGACTATGAGAAAATTGTTTTGATAAAATATCAAAACACATAAAAAAATACTTATCAAAAACAATTTGTTAAGTATTTGGAAAGATCAGATTAAAAAATGCATGTTAATCTCCAGCAAATTATTTAAACTAATTTGGATGAGACATCATGCAGCACCCAAAATTAAGAAATGTGAAAGATGACCCCAGAGAAGGAAACAAAATGAAATTTATATGAAATTAAATTGAGTTAAAAATGTTATTTTTAAATTAAGCAGATAAGAAATGTAGTCATAAAAATCATGTTGGTATAAAATTATACAAAGAAAACTATAACAAATTGAATTATATATGTAATATTATCTGAGTGAATTGTAGTGATGTGTTTTTAAATGTTCTGTATTTTCTTTGTGTTTGTATCTCATAAACGTATTACTTTTTCTTCTGGTGAACAGTGATCTGCTTTTATTTCTTAATGTTGGATTACATGAGTAATTAAGAAGAAAAGTAAAAAATATTTTTCCCAGTCACATAACTTATGACATTATAAATTAATGAAGTATTAGAGACTTTTTAAATAAAAGTTTGCCACATATATACTATATCTATGTTTGAGTAATACTAAAACAACTTTGAAATATATAACATTCCAACAGGCTACTTAGTATCATGTAAACAAAGAAAATTTAACTGATTTCAGATTTATTCAAATTTATTGTGTGCTTTCTTTGAATTCAGTTAAACTCTGGGTTATAGACAATCAGATGTATTTCAGATGTATTCTATATGACTCCAGGTAATTTTGAAATACCTCATTTGAGGTAAAATCTAGGTAGATATAATTTTTTTTCTTCTTAATTCATCTGTACTTGTTACAGCTTTTAAAGCAGAATGATTTGAGGTAGGCACAATTTATGTTGCTTAATAGTTATGACCATCAGCCTAAACTCTACAACTTAATATTCATTCCTGGTTAAGAACAGAACAGGAAAACTAGATTGGAGAAAAACTAAACTTGAAACAATCAAGTTGTATTTCTGCAACCACAAATAATTTGTTGAAAACATTCTTTTAAAATATACTCATGTTAAAAAAAATGCATCAGTACATACAGTCTTAAAAAAATTCCAATGAATATTTTATACAGAATAGAATTGGACCCCAAAACAGCTTACTTGCATTTTATATTTAAGAGAAGAAAATATAAATAGCCTAAAACAAGGGGATGCTAATCTTCAGTGAATGATTTAATTTGGAAATTGTTATTATTGTAAAATTTCGTTTTTAAAGTTGGGATCTCCCGTGGCAGATCAAACAATTGCAATTACAAGCATTTAGCATTTATGTCCAACTTGCTGTTGGGCTTCCCAGGTGACCCTAGTGGTTAAGAACTCATCTATCAATTCAGGAGATGGAAGAGACTTGGGTTCAATCCCTGGGATGGGAAAGTCCCCTGGAGAGGGACATGGAACCCCACTCCAGTATTCGTGCCTGGATAGTCCCGTGGACAGAGGAGCCTGGCAGGCTACTAACCACAGGGTTGCAAAGAGTCAGACACGACTGAAGCAACCTAGCATACACCAACTTGCTGTAAACGGTGAATATAAAATTCGATTTAAGAGAAGACTTATTTAACCTTGTTTTTCTTGATTGATAAATTCCTATACAAAGCATGATAGCTATCCTAACAAGAGTTATTATAAACATAACAAAGTATGTCATCAAAATTGGAAATAAATTAACAAAATGTATATCCAGTTGAAATTCTGCCTTATTTGTATAGACACAGCCAAGGAAACATTTTAAAAGATTCTTATTTTAAGTGCAATTAGCAAAGTATATATTCAAGTGATATCAGGTACAGTTTCCAAGGTAGCCATTTATTAAAATCAGTATAGACTATTTTTATGAGAAATGTTACTAAAATTTATAAAAAGTAATATAAAATATTAGTGTGTTTGGTGATAATCTAATACGTTTTAGAGACTAGTGATTAAATAATGGATTTGTTTTGTTTACTTATCAAATTTATGTTAAATATTTCTTTCATAAATTTAGTCACTTGGTGTCAAGTGAAAACTACGAAAAACCATAGTAAATGCTGAATAGATTGTGAGAAAAGACTGTGTAACTGTTAATGAGGTTCATTTGACAAGTATTTATTTTAAAATGTGCTTATCATAATTAGGATATTTAACTTTCTTTAGTTGATGACTAATTTTCCTATGTCTCATTCATTTCCCAAATACTTTATGAATATTGTGGCATTTGCAAGGCATTGTTTTTAGTATTGAGGGAGAACAAAAAAAACAGAAGACATGAGGCTTACCTTCAAGCAGCTTAGAGTCTTAATAGGGGCGATCAGACAAGTACATATACAACCACAAACCAGGTATGTACCATTGTATTGCCTCAAATCTAAGACTGTCTAAATTATGACACATTGTCTGTCATTCTGTGTTTATTGAGAGGGAAGTTCTGTGGTTAATTAGTGGCATTGACCAAGATCACAGGAGGTGTAGAGGTGAGTAATGCTGTATATGCTGTGGTTTTGCCAGCCCTGCCAGTAAACAACTAATGGAAATTGCTTGGGAAAAAGTCTTCAGAGAAAGTAGTGGAAGAGAAGTCAGTGATGCAGACAGAAAGAGAACTGTAATGAGATAGAGAGGAATACTCAGGAGTATGGCATTGTTGAAACCAGAGTTTCAAAAAGGCATAGACTGATAGCATCATCTACAGATCTTTCAGGATAATACTTGCGAAGAGGTGCTCCATCTGCCATTTAGGAAGTAACAGTGTACTTCCAGAGACTATTAATTAGGGATCCTTTTACAATGCATAAAACTTTCTATGAAGTCAAATTCTATGTAATAGGTAAATAATGATTTGGGATCACTAAATAAGAACTTTAAAATGTCTTCGAAAGTACTAAAAATTTAATGGGATGAAAAATTTTAAATAATAGTTATATACTCAAATATAGTTATATCTTCAAAAAAGTATTTTAAGATGTTAAGCTTTGACACATTGTAAGTACAGAAAGCAGCCTACCAACTCTTTAATTCCTAGATCTGTGATCCCACAGAAAGTAACTTTAATTTTTAACAGATCACCAGCCCAGGCTGGATGCATGAGACAAGTGCTCGGGTCTGGTGCACTGGGAAGACCCAGAGGAATCGGGTGGAGAGGGAGGTGGGAGGGGGGATCGGGATGAGGAACACATGTAAATCCATGGCTGATTCATGTCAATGTATGACAAAAACCACTATAATATTGTAAAGTAATTAGCCTCCAACTAATAAAAATAAGTGAAAAAAAAATGACAGGACTAAAATAAATAAATAAATAAATAAAACCATATTGTGAGGTCAGGAAAAAAAAAAAAATTAGGCTACCAGATGATTATGGCACACATGTTCCTAGCACTGATACCTAGGATCCTCCTAAAAATAAATGTTTTCATTTAGTTATGAATGTCATAGATGTGTCATGTTTTCAAAAGATGCTCAATTGATGTCCAAATCTAGCAGCCACATATTGGTACTGGGTTGATATGATACTGCAAAAATAATTGAATCTTCTGTATTCAAGAAATGTGTTTTTCTTAGATTTTAGTGACATATAGTGGGGAGAAGTGAGGAGGTGGAACTGATGGACTGAGGTTGAATAGAATGACTTTTGAGAAATATTCATTTGTTCCTTGATTTATTCAATCACTATCTAAATTTATTTTTTCACCTGATTAAAATGTTAATTTTGTCTTACTTTGCTCAGTTGACAGGTGGCACATGGTTTTTTTTCCTACGTTATTCCCTCATACAGAATTTTTAACATAATGCAGGAAATAATATTTCTGATCCCACTGGGAATTGTGTTTGAAATGCATGATCGGTTAATAAGCCTAAAAGCATGTTGGTACTGCAGATCATCTACTGCCCTCTGTCATCTTTATTAGTTGGAGTTGCAATGTTTGATATTTGCTTGGTCTCCAAAGCCTATCACCTCCGTCGTGAAGAAACAGATTGGTTTGACAAACCCAGGGAGTCTCGGTTGGACAATGGACATGGTCTAGATCGAAAACTACCAGAAAGATTGGTCCACTCTAGACCACTAAGTCAACACCAAGAGCAAGTAAGTGCTATATTGAGCAATGTCTTTTAGATTTCTCAAAAAAAGACTCATTTCACCCTAGAATGGTCTCAGTTATCCCGAAATGCACAGGACTTTGATCAATCAAGTTCACAAATGATTTTTTTTTCAGTATCTTAAGGTGGTAATTCCCTTACTTCATCAGCCATGACTGATTGACATTGAAGCAAAGCTGTGATGCTTCTTACCAGGCAATTTAAGTGATTTTTTTGCTTCTAACCGACAATTAAGCCGTACAGCATACCCAACACTGCCATGCAAAGAAAATACATGAATCTCCTAAAGGGCTTACAGAATATAGGGTAAAATAGACTTGGGTAATTTCAGGGCCTTCCATTAGAATATGCCCAGTTGTCAAGAAATAGCAAATAAGAAGATGACTAAACCAAGCAGTTGGAAACAGAGAAAGCTTCACCTGGGAGTAAGGGAACTGATGTTATATGGAAGTCTTTTATGTTCATTATTGGATTTTATATTCAGAACAACTTTCATAAAGTAGATTTGATTAGTTAATATCTATAGGTTAAAAAAAAACTTAGGGATACTATTAACTATTACATAAATATAATACCATAACTCATGATCTTATTCAATTTAGAACTAAAGAAATGATGTTTAAATTGAACTTCAATAGATACTTGGGAGATTAACACTTGGATAACCTAAGGGAGGTTCCTCTGGTAGGTCACATGGCCTTAAATCAGTTGCCTTAATGGATCAGGTATTTGTAGGTATTTGTATTCATTATGATCATTAAGATACTCACAAAAGAGATAGTTACTTATACCATGTACATTAACTGCTTTATCACCTGTCTGATTAATGATTCATTGATAAACTGACAACTATATTTCAAACAACAAAAAAGAACCATATGAATTTACTATAATTCAGTACGTGTCATGTTAAGGTATAAAAGAAAAAAAGACTTTTGCATGTAAAAATGCTGTCTAAAAGATAGGATCTATGGTCTTAGATTTGATTTTTTCCTAAGCAATTTCAGTTTTCATAGACAAATTTCTAACTGATAAAATATTTTCTCAATTTTATTTTGCTCTTCTAGACATTCTCTCACTTTATTGAAATCTATTATGCTCTGTTTATTGTAAATATTCTAGATCTAGAATAGATTGAGAGAAGAAATGAGGAAATTTAAAAATTAGAATCTTTCTGAATGTGTTTAAAAATATTCGTTTATCTCTTATTTGCAATTATAGTCAATTTATCAACTGAAAATAACTTCCTTGAATTATTTTTTTATTATAGAAATCTCTCTGTAATGACTTACTTGTTCTGTCTTACTCATCTTGTTTGTTTCTCTGAAGTTTAGTATTTTCCACAAACCAAGATCAAGATAATGAAAATACAGGTCCTTTCAAGGAATCCTGATAAGATGAAATATAAAAACTGAATAGCTAAAAACGTAATAACTTTCATACAGTTATTTCCCAACACTTCTGAGTATCCAATTAGAGTAGTCTTGTCCACCTAATTAATCCAACTAATATTCTACAGGATATATTTTAAAATAATCAGTGTCCATCCCCCAAAATTATATTCTAGAATACTGTCTTACTGTATGTAAATGAAACATAAATATTCCTAGTGAGTTTCTTGTTCATAATTATCTGTTACTGACATCTACAGAATTTATGATTTGATTCACTGAAAACATAACACATTATATTTGAATTTATAAGGATAGAGCAATATAATGCCAAAATTAAGCAGAGAGGCTATATTTGAGAATGATTTAATGAATTTCTCTTTGTTTAATAACATAGGAAATGTAAGACTCCTTGTAAATTTAATACTGTGTATCTCATTGCTGAAAATTATTTTCACATTTGTATTTTGTTATCTAAGCTGTGAAGTGAAAGTTGCTCAGTCGTGTCCAACTCTTTGCGACCCCATGGACTAAATATTCCATGGAATTCTCCAGGCCAGAATACTGGAGTGGGTAACCTTTCCCTTCTCCAGGGATCGTTCCAACCCAGCAATCAAACCCAGGTCTCCCACATTGCAGGCAGATTCTTTACTAGAAAGCCACAAGGGAAGCCCAGGAATACTGGAATGGATAGCCTATCCCTTCTACAGGGGATCTTCCCAACCCAGGAATTGAACCAGGGTCTCCTGCGTTGCAGGAGCATTCTTTACCAACTGAGCTATCAGGGAAGCCCTTTTAACATATAAACAAAAAACTATGCAATACTCAAAACTTAAAAACATGTAGAATTATAAATTAGTTATAAAACAAACAACCATATAACCACCACACAAAGAAAGGGAGTGTTTTCTTCCCCTTGAAATCTATAAGTGCTCTTTCCAAATCGTAATTTTTAACCTCTCTCAAACAAGTAGTGAGTATACTGACTTTTGTGTCAGTAATTTCTTTATTTTTCTTTATAAATTTCTCTATGTGAAAGCTACATAGGAGATGATATGTTTTGATTACATTTAAATGAAGTTCATGCTTTTTTGTGTTAATATTTATCTTCAAATACTCTCTTCATATCAAAATTATATTTTGGTATAGAAACAATGCAAAGTATCATTCTTGTTTTAGTCATTTATTTAGGATAAGTGTTGTTTCTGCCAGACAAAAATAGGGACAAGGCCAGAGGGTAGGACTGATGTCAATTAATCGCCCTGTTCCTCTCCCCAAGAGCAAGGTTTCTGACATCATAGTCTTTGGCTAATTCTCCATTGACAGAACTATCACTTGTATGCTGTCCAGAAAAAGGGTTCTTCTCTGTTTACAAGTATTTCACAAGAAATTATGAATGCTCCCTTTCTTTCTTTGTGTGGTGGTTATGTGGCTGTTTATTGGTTTATAATTTTGCATATTTTTCAGTTTTGAGTATTGCATAGTTTTTTTTTTCCTTACATGTCAGATAAAACATATAAACACTAATGTATCTGCTATAAAAATTATTTAATGTAAAACATACATTAGAGAGCAGAATATATCTGACTTTAGACTCAAAATCATATGAATTATAAAGCCAAATCTGCCAATGTCTATGTTTTTTCTTTTGTATGTTTAACCTTCACACTATTCAGTAGAAATTCAACTCTGCTTTGTGAATTGAAGAGATCACCTGACCTCTTTCTTTTCTTTCGTCAATCACTTCATCAATAAATAGAACTAGTACCATTCACAGCATTGTTGCAAAGGTCAAAATTTCTCTACTAGTACAAAATGCGTTCATTCTGCACTAATGCCCAAGCCTTGTGCACTGCCCATGTGACCGCTATACTGAGGTACATTGGGCACCTTTGAAAGAGTTGCTCTGTCTTTATTCTGGGCTTTGAATGCCTTGTTTCCTCTTCCTGAACATTCTTCCTCCTCTTTTCTCTTGACTTAATGCTGTTCATCACTCAGGGCTCCATGTGCATACCTCATCTTGCAAAAAGCCTTCTCTGACATTACCACCACCATCTCCCCACAAATGTTCCTACTTTGTGCTACAGTAGCAGTCCATGCATTGTGTCTTGGGCTGTGAACGTTTAGAGAGCAAGCGCTCCCTATACCATCCACCATGGTGTCTATTCTGTGCCTAACACAGGGCTTGATACTCTGTCTGCTACATCTAGCATACAAGGTATTTAAATAAGGGAAAGGATGAATGTCTGTATAAATAAAAGATATGTTAACACAAGAGTTACTGTTTCATAAATATAAAGGGCCAGTTCATGAACATAATTTCTTTTGAAATACTTGTAAGTTGGGTACATCTTTCCCTTTCTCCTTTGCCTTTCACTTCTCATTTCTCAGCTATAAGTCCTCTTCAGACAACCTCTTTGCCTTCTTGCATTTCTTTTTCTTGGGGATGGATTTGGTCACCACCTCCTGTATGGTGTTATGAACCTCCATCCATAATTCTTCAGGCACTCTGTCTACCAGATCTGATCCTTTGAATCTCTTTGTCACCTCTACTGTATGATCATAAGGGATTTGATTTAGGTCATATCTGAATGGTCTAGTGGCTTTCCCTAATTTCTTCAATTTCAGTCTGAATTTTTCAATAAGCAGCTCATGATCTGAGCTACAGTCAGCTCCAGGTCTTATTTTTGCTGACTGTATAGAACTTCTCCATCTTTGGCTGCAAAGAACATAATCATTCTGATTTCGGTATTGACCATCTGGTGATGTCCATGTGTAGAGTCATCTCTTGTGTTGTTGGAAGAGGATGTTTGCTATGACCAGTGTATTCTCTTAGCAAAACTCTGTTAGCCTTTGCCCTGCTTCATTTTTGTACTCCAAGGCCAAACTTGCCTGCTACTCCAGGTATCTCTCGACTTCCTGCTTTTGCATTCCAATCCCCTATGATGAAAAGGACATCTTTTGGGGGTGTTAGTTATAGAAATTCTTATAGGTCTTCACAGAACCATTTGACTTCAGCTTCTTCAGCATTAGTGGTTGGGGCATAGACTTGGATTACTGAGATGCTGAATGGTTTGCCTTGGAAACGAACCAAGATCATTCTATTGATTTTGAGATTGCACCATAATATATGTAATGTAAATGTATTATCTATAGTAACAAAGCAAACTTGAGTTATATCTGATAGTTTTAAGATTTTCAGTTCACATAGTTTAAAATGAAATCTTTAATGCAGATAGAAGAGAAAAGAAGGAGAGGATGAGGGACAGCAGAAGAAGGAGAAAAGATGAAGGGAGGGAAAGTAAGGAGTCCAGGAGAGAAAGTAAAAGAGAGTGAGAAAAGTAAAAGAGAGTGAGACAGAAGAGGGGAGAGTAAGGAAGAAAAAAGGAAAATGCACACTTTTTTGTCATGAACATATACAAGATTCACAATGGTTTACCAAGCTATTATTAATAGTATGAATTATCTAGATCGATTATATGGACCATGATATTTTTATAATCATGCAAATGATATTTTAGTTTTACTTTGCAGAATTCATATAAGATTTTTGGACTTGACAGGATTATGCTGTTGTCTGGGGAGAATATTTTGTTCATCAGAGGCCTGATTAAGCTTATTCTTCCCTAAAGAGAATAAAACCTAAAGGCTGGCATTGTTTGAATTTTTCAGTGCATTTTTCTTTTAAAATCCAGAATTCTAGCCATTTTAAAGATGAATTTTCAAAGGCATATTAAAATAACATGAATATTCCAGGGAATTTTTCTTCACAAAAGGAACACCCTTTTAATTGTAAATTCTAGTTAATATTTTATCTTAGTAACCCCAAACACTACCTAAACACATTATGAAGTGGGTAGTATTAAATGTCTCTTTACTAAACCTTGTTTTATCTAATTCCAGGCAAAAATTCTCCAGAAGTGATGGATACAAGATTTCATACTACTAAAATCCTATTAATATAGTTTTATAAAGATTTTAGTATTTCTGTCTTTCAATATTTCACAAATCTCTTTTGAAAACCAAATTCCATAAAATATACAGCAGAAGTTTGCATTTGCTAATTTCATTTCAGAAATCTCATTTTGTCAGATGGAAACACCGATAACACAGCCTATAGCATTCTCATGTTCAAGTCTCAGTAATGAGAATTGAAATCACGGACTTGTAACAAAGGCATTGAATGTTGTTTCTTCTGATTGAAGGAGTGTCAGAATTAAATGAGAAATAATGCCTTTGCACACAAAGAATGCTTCAGAAAATATTAAAATGAGCAAAGATTTTATTTATTTATGCAGAATTAGTCTTGGCATCAGGAGTATCCTAAAACTTCTGACAAATGTGCTCAGCAGAAGCAAAATTCCACAATGATGCCAACATAACATAACATATGCATTCCTGGTAAAGTGATAGAGATGCAGAGTAGGAGGATCTTTGTCTTTTCTCCCTTTAAGCTTGATGGCTGAAAATTAAAAGTGCCTCTCTATTTCTAGGCTGTCCAAAAACAAAATCAGCAGAGGTCAATTTTCCATATACAGTCTCTGTGTATTACCATAGTAATAGATATCCTTATGTGTTAACATATGCTTATTGATTTTCCAAACCCAACAAATCAGTTTGCAAGAGAAACTGATTGTAAATGTGAAGACTATAATAAACTCAGAAAACAATAGTATCATTATGTAGTATTAAATGCTTAAAAGTGTCATCATTTGAGAATCTTCTGTTTTCATTGGTTGAATCACTGTAGTTTGAAAAAAGATAATTATATATATTGCTCTTTAAATGTCTTTGACATTGATTTTTCACCATATCTTATGTATGTCTTAGATTATACAGATGGATGGGAAAACTGTGCACTACATCTTTCCACATGCAAGGATAAAAATAACAAGAGACACTAAGGATCACACGGTTTCAGGTAAAAGAAATCAAATATTCTAGTTCTTTTTACTTTAATGTCAGGTTGAGATATGTATTTGAATTTGTTTAGGTAACATTAAATTTAAGAAGATGCATTTTTCTGTCAAAAACTATTGGAAAATTTCAAAAAATAATCAGGCTATGTATTTAAATATAAAAAAATAATGCTGTAATTATTAATATGATATGTTACTAAATGGTTTATATTTAGATCATTCTATATCTTCATTTTTGATGTGCATAATAGTAAATGCTACATAATTATTGCACTGTTGAGTAATATGGTCATAGGACCATAAAACATTCTTACACAGAAACTAACAAATTTTACTAAGGAATAAATTCCCCTATACCTTATAAATTTGAACATTATCAGTTTTGATCAGTTTTGTTTATTTGTTTGTGTTCTTCTTTAAATTAACCATATGACAGAAAATGTAAACTTGTTATTTTGAGAAAACTTTGGATTCTCAGAAAATAGAATGATCAGTTCTTTTGCCCACTCTTTACCCAGTTTCACTAATGTTAGCATCTAACCACAAAAAGTGATCAAAGCCAGAAATCAGCATTAATATGATGGTATTAAAATATCTACAAGCCTTATCCAAATTTTGAGTTTCCCCACTGACCCACTAATTTTTTTTCTGAGGATCTAATCCAAATCTCAGATTGCATTTAGATTATTAAAATTTCTCTTGTTTATGTCTGTGAAGTAGAAGTATAAATTTTATCAAAGTTAATAAATTTTCAAAGTATGAATATTACCTGTATTCTCACTCAAGTACATTTTCTGTGTTAAGTAGATAATGTATATCAACAGAAACTATTCATCAATACATATAAATATTTGTCAGTGGTATAGCTAACATAGCATATATGTTAGGTGTTTATTTTTCTTTAAGGACTGATACAACAGAGGACAAAAAGTGGTATTTCTTCAGTGTACTTGCTCTTGTTCTTTGCAGATTTTAGACCCTATGGTTTTGGAACAGGTTTTGATTTGAGCAATTTTTTTCCTTTTATTTTCATAGAGAATGAATTGATTAGGAATATAATGTTTTCCTTTTAAGATAGGATCATTTTTCTTCTGCCAGAGATAGATATTTCAAACTTTCATAGTTTTATTACATACAAACTATATTTTAAGCACTGATGAACATTCCAGGGGTGAGTCTTAAAATCCAGGGACTCTTTGTAGAAATAATTACTTGCTGCAAACTATTTCAGTTCCCTCCAGCTCATAAAGCAAAACAACATAATACTTTATAGCAATGCCAAAATTATTTTTTTCAGCAAAAATCTTCAAACCATTTTTACTAAATCACCAGGACTCTACATCAATATGTTTTCTATTTGTATTAATATACTGTGTCAAAGTAATTATCCCTTCAACCTTATCATTTTTCTTTTGCAACTTATTTTAATGTTTTCTTTTGCTACAATTAGGGAAGAAGTTTGTTTTCTTTTACTGCAATTAGGAAAAAATTATAATTTTTATTTTAAAATATAAGAATAATAGAAATCAGAGCTATTGACTTGTTATAATTATTCTAGTCTGAAAATTTGTTTCCTCTATATATAGATTTTGTAAAATGAGAAAAGAGGATTATAGTTTTGAATTATATACTAGGAATATATTATATTATCTCTATGCATGATCCTTTTATTTTAATATTTGTCTAAAATAATAATAAAAATACTTGTTATGTTTATCCTGCATTACTATGGAATGTATTTTCTTTGTATACCATAGTAGCCTGATCTCATTCTAAACTAAATATTTTACAACAATTTGTATTGTCTTCAAATAAGTCTTAAGTACCTCAAAGGGATTTAAATACATGTATATTGGGCTGCCCTGGTAGCTCACATGGTAAAGAATCTGCCTAAAATGTAGGAGACCCAGCTTCAATCCCTAGGTTAGGAAGATTTCCTGAAGAAGGGAATTGCTACCCACTCCAGTATTCTTGCCTAGAGAATTCAATGGACAGAGGTTCCTGGTGGGCTATAGTCCTTGGGGTCGCAGAGTCTGACATGACTGAGCCACTAACAGTTTCACACACAAAAAAATTTATATGAAAGACTAGAGTAAGAAATGGCAATTTTTGCCAAACAGTATCTAGCAGTTTGAAGTTAGTGGCAGACAAACCCTGGCATAGAGCATTTACACTCCTGGCTAATCTCTGTTATTTGCTGGTCTACCAAAAGCTTGGTTTGAGTGACTAAATATTTGATGATCCTAAGATTTTACTGGTTTTCTATCATGTCATTTTTATGTTAATATTTTCATGAAAAAATTGAGTATATCTTTTAGAGATGCATACTCAAATATTTACAGATGAATCAATGTCTTGTGTAGAGTTTGCTTCACAATTAGCTGTGCAGAAAGTGGTGAAGAAATAGATGGAACAGAATTGACATAGTTTGATTAATTTGGAGCTGCAAGATTAACTACACTGGGTTTTATTACAACCTTGTCACTACTTTTTTATATGTATGAAACTTTGGGTAATAGAAAATAGTTATGTCAAGTAGTTAGAACAGGAAAAAGGAGTCCAGAATGGTGGCGGCTAAAAGACAAGGAAAGGAAAAGCTCGTGAAAATAGAACAAAGGAAGATTCAAGGGCCAGAGTGAGGACCTCAGGTAAAACAAACTGCACCCCTGACTTGCCCAGTTTACATAGGGCAGGCCCAGGGGGAGGAGAGAAAAACATTAAAAAGAGGAGCCAAAATTGGGCTGGAGGCCTCTCTTCTTTTCGTGTCTTTTGGGTCGGCATACCTTCATGCCTCAAGGATGTATTTCCTTTACTTTCTAAATAAAACTGAGCTGTAACATGGAGCTGTACACTGATCCTTCTGAGGGCTGTTGGGGGAGTTTGTAATTTCTTCTGTTCTGCCTTGTCACAACAAAAATTTGAAGTGACAGACGGACCAGTGTTATAGCCCTCAGATGGACCAGTGTTACAGCTCAGTTTTATTTAGAAAGCAAAGGAAAATACATACTCGAGGCGTGAGGGCATGGCAACCCAAAAGACACGAAAAGAAGAGAGGACTCTTCTTTAATAGGAGAGAGGCCTCATGCTTTAATAGGAGAATCTGAAATGTGAATAATTACTATAGTAAAACTTAAGGAACAACTGAGACAAAGTCAGGGAATTTACAAAACTTTTTTGTTCATAGATATCTGTATATATGTATAGGTGTGTGCACACATACACATCTGTACCATTATTTATACTATTTTATGATGTATGTAGAGGGAAATACATGCATACTGTCTTTTGTTAAGTGGTCAATAACTTTAAGCAAATAGATCATTTAATTTTGACTATAGCTTCAAAGATATACTTACAGGTGCTGATCAACAACTGTACAATGGTTTTGAAAACCTTTAGTCACCCAAGCACAAAGCAGTGAAATGGAGAAAATAGGACATGAGTTTTAGAATCAGAAAGTCCTGAATTGGAGTTCAGCTCTATCACTTATTTAAATTTTGAGATTGAGTACACTCATCCTTAAAATAAGATCAGTTCTCTATATCTCACATAATGGCAAATGAACCTGACACAAAATCTTATCCTTAGTGTAAATCAAAAGAATTATTTTCTCTTAGAAATTATCAGAAAAAAAGATAAAATGTAGTACTCAAGAAGTGAGTCTCTTTCTTTTTTATTTAGAGCTCCATCTTAACATCTTCAGAAACACAGCTGTTCAAAACAAGTCAGAGAAATTTTTCTGAATTTAAAAAAGATATTTGCTTATGTTAAAGTTCCATACTGGACTGGCTCTATCTGCAAGGTTAGAAGGACAGATTAGAAAGTGTAATAATGAAGAACATTAAGAATGGTTAGTTTCAAAAGATAGCAGTGTCTTCGCTGGACATAGTGGCTCATTTTCTGTACCTCTTTAGTCCACCATCTTCATGAACTTTTAGAAACAAGAGACAAATGTAACAGATCTCACTGGATCTGAGTTGGTAGGAATACCAAAGGTGGATAGCCCTTTTAAAATTATTATTTTAACAACTTTATTGTGGTGTAACTTATATCATGAATGTGCATGTTATAAATGACTTTATAAATTTGTGGAGTTGTGTGACTATCATGACAAGCTTGTTTTGGAACATTTCAAACACTACAAAAAGTTCCTTTGAGTCTGATAGCAATAGCCACTTCCAGCATTCCTCTCCCAATCACAGGCAGGAAGTTTACTTTCTGTCTCTGATACTACCCTTTTTGGGTTCTTCATATAAATTAAATTGTACGGTTTCAGTTTTGATGTCTGACTCCTTTCAATTACCAGTACTTTTTAAGTTTATCTATGTTGTAGCATGTATCAGATATTTGTTCTATTTATTGTTAAGAAGTACTTCATTGTTTGAATTCTCTATACTTATTTATCCATTGGATTTTTCGTGGTTTCACTTAAAATTTGCACACAAATTTTACTTTGGACATATGATATTTTTGTATGATGTCCTAGAAATGGAGTTGCTCAGTTACATGGTGAGTTTCTTTTTAACTATTTAACAGTTGCCAGATAGGTTTTCCAAAGTGAAGTTACCATATTCCATTCTTACCAGCAATGTCTAAGGATTCTACTTGCTCCACGAGTTTGCCAGCACTTCGTAATGTCTGTCTTTTGGGGAGAGTGTGGATGATAGTGTCTTGTTTTAACTTTAATTTTCCTAATGACATGTGATGAGAGTGAAAGTGACAGTTGCTCAGTTGTGTCCAACTCTTTGTGACCCGGTGGACTATACAGTCCAGGGAATTCTCCAACCAGAATACTGGAGTGGGCAGGCTTTCGCTTCTCTAGGAGATCTTCCCAACCGGGAATCAAACCAGGCTCTCCTGCATTGCAGGTGGATTCTTTACCAACTGAACTATGAACATATTTTTAGGTGGTTAAAGTCAAAGCATACATATTCTTTGGTAAAATACTTATTAAGAATTTTTTTCCATTATTCAAGTTCTTTGTCTTCATACAGAATTGTAA